CTCCAGAGCTGAGTAGTTAGACCTAAAATGAGCGAATAAGCTTGATCCTTTCAGTAAGAGCCCTCCTTCATCTTTCCTTTCTCCTCAAAAAAAAAAAGGAAAAATCCCAAGTCAGAGCAGAACGTTCTCACAAAGCTGACAATATTTGTTTTTTCTTCAAATACTGAATCTTGCTCACAAGATAATGACAATAGCCTGTAGAAGTTGGTGAGGCAATACCATTTGATAGGATGATAACCACTATCCTGCCATCCTGCTTGGAAATCGTTAAATGGTTGTTAATAAAATAAGAAAATTAGTATTTTGGCAGCTTTAAGTGCATATATTTCATAAGAGTATAATTCCTATATAGCTCATTATTTTACTAATGCTACCACAAAGTCATTTAATTCAAATACAGCAAAGTAAGTAACATCCATTAAGGGTAAGTTAGAGCAGCAGAGTATTCAAACCTGTAAAGCAAACGTTGTACTCCACCTGTGCTCCTAACTCAAGTATTAAGCAGTACTATTTATCTGCATTTGCCACTTCACAAGCTTCTAAAATACACATGTACTGAAAAATCTCAGTCATAACTCACAGCTAACTTGGACATTAGTCGACATCCCAGCTCTGCCACTGATCTGGGACAAGTCATAGGTTATGTAGCCTGTTATATTTGTTTCCTTTGTCTGAAAGTGGATCATACTTCTCAATCATCCTGCAGGGATGTTATAAGACTAAATTTGCTCGTTTGCAAAGCTTTTTGCAGTCCTTGGCTTACTGAGTAGAATTGGAATGCAGACACACGTGCCAAATATTCCTACTATCCTACAGCAAGTGGGGACAGATTTTGCCCATGCCAGCTTCTCCACTATGGGACAACTGGCTACTGAGTCAGGTGTTGATGTCTCATACTGAGAACAAGGCAGACAAAATGCAATCAGGAAAGCAGTTACTCTAGTGCTGCAGAAAAACAAAACTAAACCTCCTAGTAAAAGCAGAGTCTCTGTAAGGAAAAGAACATGACCCTTTCTCAAAAGATTCTTTGACAAGCTGTTGTATTGATAGCTGGTTCTGGCAGCTGGGAACTGCAGAATTTTAATGAAGCATTGGTACAAGAACAGTCTGAACAGGTTGATTATGACTGACTGAAGTCTACAGTGCATGATATCAAGATACATTATCTGTCTGTAGCATTTGTTCTTAGATTGACCTTGTTGCTCGCTTGCCGCTTTTTTTCCCCTTTTCCTTTTTCTTTCCTCCCTTCTTTTCTGCCTTTCTCTCTTTTATTCACTAGTTCTTATTTGCCTAATTAAGTTCAACTGTGCTGAGGTCCATATAATAAAAGGTGTTGAATATAAGATGTTTTTAAAGTGTGCCTGTTGCTCTCCTATTATTTGTTCCTAGACACATACAGCTGTTACTACAGTAAGCTATGTTCTTATCCGGTGGTTACATAAATGGGATTTATACAGGGAACTAGAAGAAGCTTAGAAGAAAATCCTTGTGCACAGTCTGACTCAGTGTAAGGAAAGGCTGAGCAACCTCTCTGTATCTGACAGAGAGAAGGGAGATTGATGGCTTCACTCAGGGCACACTTAAGTCGCTATTCCCCGGCTGCTTCCCTGGGCTGAGGGCAGGCAGCGTTCCTCACCCACTGCTTGCCTATAAAAGCATAGGTATGAGCAGTGCTTGCTTTCTAGCTTGAAGCACATGATGGAATTCATATGACTGACTAAAAACGCTGCTGGTGACCTTTATAAATAGTGCTGCCTTGTTTTTTTGTTTGTTTCTTTGTCTGGTACTGCATCCTTCACATGAACATATTCACACATGCCTGGTTTTGCGCTTTCTACCATATTTACTTTTATTCTTTGCAGCCCATAATAATATCTGAGAACTCTGGAAAGGCATTTTGCTTGTCATTGCTTCATTCCTCCCTCTTCTGCTTCTTCCCTTGTCAACATTTATATCCACCAATCTAACATGCTGGTTTGTTTTGATTTTTAATGGATTTTGCACTTGTCTGTGCAAATCTAGGTTTAGATTAGAGCTAGGTATATGAAGTGCTAGATTTCTTTAGTTCAGTTTCAGAGATACAAGTGCAGGTTTTACCAAAGAAAAATTGCTTCAGCTCCTGAGATATTATGGGACATTGATGATATTATATTTAATGTTTCTGATAAAATTAATATTTTTAATATTCCTTTGGTGCAAACATATATTTGCCTTATTATTTTTTTTTCTTTAACTGGAGCTAAAATTGGCTATCATGATCATAAATGAACATTAGGGAAGCTATTATTAACTCTGCTCTGTGGGATAAACAGGAGGTGTGAGATACGATGATCCAGGCTCTTTGTGAAAGCAAAAAGTCTAATGTAAGTTATCAGCAGACAGGGCCATGTAGTGGTCTCTGCAGCAGTTTGCCTCTAGGCTGAGGCATAGGAGCAGCCAGAGCCCTTTTGCTCTTCTCCTTAATGTCCTCCTAGTTTACTTTGAAACCTTTGAAGAGAGCGAAACAGTCAGAGCCTGTTCTGCTGCCCTAAAGGGGTGGATGTAATGGGATCTTTCCAAAGCACTGATGCCTTAGTGACATGAACTTTCAGCAGTCTTCTGACTAATGTGGTGGCAGTGATTTTTCAAAGTGTTTTTGTATTATTTTTAGGAAAAGGAGTGCTTCCTCAATAAATTGATAATCCCTTTCCATTTTTATGGAAAGCAATGCCTTGATGTTTTGTGACATTTTAAAAGTTTATAATACAAATAGAAGTGTTGTGATATCAATATGAAATATGAAAACAAATATGCTCAAACCTTTGAAGTGTAATAAAACAATAGTTAACCTTTTTTTTTTTTTATTATTTTTTTTATGAAATAACCTAAAGTTTTCTCTGATGAGCAGAACAACGGCTTTCTGGGACAGATAGCAAACTGTTGTGTACTGTCACTCAGTTCACAGAAAAAAAAATCTGCTTTTCATGCTAATTTGAGGTTTTGTGCTTTTGAAGGCCATCAATCGCCACTATGTGTGTTGTATGGTATTATGGGCTCTCTGAGATACTCTTCCTTTTAATGAGTCCTGATCCAGCAAAACAAACTGGTATTTAACTTCTTTGCCAAAAGTCTCAGCAACCAGAATTGTCTATACTTGTCCATCTTCTACTTGCAAGCCCATGCAGACACAAAGTACATGCCAGAGGTTCTTTCTGGACATGCATATAAAAAAATATATACGCTCTATGTACAGAACAATAGATACCTACAATTGCCAGCAGAAAATCTATATTATATGATGCAGAAGTCAAACTGCCTGGGCTTTTGTAACATTGCATAGGAGTGAGATGTGTTAGTGGTTGATTTAGCTTCCCCATGGAGGTCTGCCAATATCAGGGTAATGTCTAGAGTCAGCTTCAGTAAAATGGAGAGTCAGAGGTACAGTGGATTTCTACCACAGGGCTAGCCTAGTGATAGATAATTTTAAAAGCAACACTTTGCCGGTTTTGTGGAATATAGTGCACACAGTACTACACGGTGTTTACCCTGAAAGTACTCAAGGCGGTATCCAAAGAGATTAGTATAAGCTGACAGAGTTCATTTTTTTCAGTTTGTGTTAAGGTAATCATATCACTCCCACTGGTAATGCAGTTTGCTGCGAGAAATTGGAATATGCCATAAGTGGCACGGAAGAAATCACATAGAGACTAGCTGGTAGTCATTAGCATAACAGCAGCCCACACACTGTTATCATCCACAGCTTTTGATACTGGTGTGGCAGGAGACCAATCAGGAGTAATAAGTTGCTGAAGTGCCTAAGAAAGGAACAGGGAGGAATGAGAAATTTTAGTTCATGCTGTCTGTGTAGGCTGGATTACATAGAAGAAAACACAATGGACTCCACCTCTGTGTTTAATAGTAAAGGGATTTAATACTAGAAAAACCTCAGAATTACAAAATGGATTCTTGCTGCTACATGTTTTCTAAAAACATTTTACAGAATGTAGAAAGCTGGAATTTTTAGATGCCAGGATGATAATAACAGTATGAAATTTATTTCTGGCTTTAGGAGTTTTATGTGGATTACCTGTGATTTCTTGAGCTGCCTGAATGTGTTGGTTGCACCTCTCATAACTTCTATAAGATATCACTCTGGTGGCATGTATTATGGCAAATTCTAAATTAGAGAATAGCTGGGCAAAGTTTGTGAGGTTATTGGTGAAAGACTTCCTGATGTCTTCTGACATGTTGAAACAGAGCAAAAGTAGTACCATTAAGCTTCACCTTGTTCCTGCAAGTAATATCAACATAACTAAATGAAGATGAAAATATTTAAAATAGGAGTACAATATGGGATTGTAAGATTTTGTATTTATTTTATGGATACACTGGGAATTTTAAATCTCTGCTTAGAACGCATCTTTTTGATGCTCTTATTTGATAAGCAGGAAATGCCAACAAGGTCAAAAAGTGGATAATGACAGCACATGACAAAAATAAAAAAGTGTAATGAATTTACTCCTCACTGTTATTGCTGATGATTTTTCTGAGGTGCCAGTAAATCTTGGTAACACAATGGCATTTACTGATAATTTACTGTGATTTTTTTTCTGTTGTTTCCTCTAAGTCATATTTCCACAATTGTTTTTTTTTCTGTTTCATTCCTGTACTAAATCCATGCTGTAGAAAGGAGGACTATGTAAATTAACCCACACAAACACATCACTTTCCTATAAGTGACTAATTGCAAATACAACTTCAGTGACTGAGATCAGTAATTTGTAACAGTTGTCAGATACTGAATGGGATATTACAAATATTCTTCCACAACTCTTTTTGCTTTCAAAAACAGGTACTTGCATTCTGTGGCCCCATGAAAGCTGGACATTTGTCTCTGTTCTGAGGATTCTTTCTAATCCCTGCGGATAATGATTGAATACTGTAGTTTTCTAAACCAAAACCAAACCAAACCAAACCAAAAGCAAGCTGTTTAAAACCTTGTGTCTTCTTTTCTCTTTCAGCCTAATTGGAGAAGAGACATAGATCAAATATGCCACCAGCAACAGCAGCACCAGAGTACCCACCTCCAGATGGAGGTTGGGGATGGGTTGTGGTCTTTGGTGCTTTTATCTCCATTGGATTTTCCTATGCATTCCCTAAAGCCATCACAGTATTCTTCAAAGAAATACAAGAAATCTTCCACACATCATATAGTGAGATAGCCTGGATATCATCGATAATGTTGGCTGTCATGTATGCAGGAGGTAAGATATTTGTTAAATGTTCAAATATCATAAGTGGTTTTATTTTTCTAAGGTCTTAAAGTATTTAAGATTAATTGCTACCTGATTTTATTGTTATTACCCAAAGGATTTACCAAAACACATGCTTCTTTTTGTATCATACTTTATCAGAGACTACTGGTAGCCACATCATCATTAAAGCACTGTTTGCTTTTTTTTTTAAAGCATTCTATATTCTCTTCTTTTTTATTTTCCCCTTAGGGCCTTTTGTTTGTTCCTGTGCCTAATTCTGTTTAGCAGTCTTACCCTAAATTTAGTTTCTGAGAGTCAACAGTTTCCAACAAATCAATGTCCATGTAACTTCTCCTGGGGTTGCAGGTACATTTGGTCAGTTTCCACTGCCTCTGTGAGATCTCTCAGGAGGCCAGATGATGAAGCTTAAGCACAGAAAATTATAATAGCAATGAGGGTTCATTAGTCAGACACAGGTATTCCTTTGTAGAGGGGGGATTTGTATCTTGTCCTTAGTTCCCCTAAAATAAAATCCCACTTTCCATTTAGGCCAAGAGTGATGTTTCCTACGTGTCATCTGTACGACAGCTATTATGTAGAAGCTATTAGCTTTGGGACTGAAATGAACATTGAATATAAATTCCCTGATATATTTTTTTTGTTGTGAGAAAGCAAGTAAAGAGCATGACAGATGAAAAAGGCTTTTAAAGTATAAAGCCATGTTTAAGTACTAAGGGCCAAACCTGCTTTGGTAGGTTTTGTGTCCATCAGTTTGTAAGACTTAGGTTTTGCTTGATTTTGTCATTCTTTCAGATTATTTATTTTTTTAAGTATTGGTGGGAGCTAGCTGTTACTTAGGCAAAACACTTTTTCAGGCAAGTTCTGATGTTTGAGTAAGAGGCTATGTTATAACATTTTATAACTATTTTATAATAGGCCTGACATTGCCCTTTCTTTGAATGTTACAAGGTAATCACTTGGAACATATCAGACTGTTTGCAATGATGAGGCAATCAAATGCATGCATTTATGTATATGTGGGTGTATGTATATATACAAATGTATAAATGTATATACATAGAAACAGAAAATATTGTGCCAAAAGCACAATGAGATTCAATATCTTTAGTAACTAAAGAGCACCACCCCAATATTTTTCAGAAGTGTTGTCTGTGTAATAGTAAAGTGGGGTATTGCCAGGTCCAGTAAGCAACCTATTGAAGGAAGCGTGAAGTCTTGCTTTTATCTCTGATTTCAACCCACCTACGTTTTGACACCTAAATGACCCTACATCCTTTAGCAGTCAGGGAAGAGTGGTAAGTACCTACAGAGAGGAAATCAGGCTGCCTGGGTGTTTCTCTCTAGCTGTTTTTCCCTTCTGACTGTAAAAATGGACCTGCAGTCAGCATAGCATTAGCTCAAGCACCTCAAGCAAATATTTTTCAGTTAATGAGATGGTAAAATGGATTCTTCTTTCAAATGCTGGGGGAGATGGGGACCTTATAAAGGCATCTTGGTAAGTGGTGTCAGTATCAACAAAAGCTTGCTGTTCAGATATTTTGTTCCCTTTTTTATTCACGTAGTAGTAGAAAATCATAACTTACTCATATATTAGTAAAGAATCCTACAGGATTTTATAGGACTGGCAACTGTAACTGATTCACCAAAATACACCAGGTGAAGAAGTATCTTGAACTAATGAAAACAAGAGTGAAGTGAAAGTGCATATATGTCCCATCACATTCAGGTCCCCTCTAATGTAGTCGCTTCTGAAGGCTGCAACAGCATTCACACTGTAGAGTATAGATGTGTAACTGTTGAGGTCCCTGAACAAGGGCTGGACCCATGTGGAACAAGTGAAAACCACAAGTGTTGAAATGCTGGAGTTTGTTTCTACATTCCCTATGCTGTGACTTCTGACTTGGACCCTTTTTCACCACTTTTTCAAATGAAAGTTATATTTTCTAAAGGCAGCACGCAGCACAGGTACTTTTGTTTTACTCTTTGAATAACATTTAATTTATGCCATTTCTGTCATCCATTTCTGCTATCATTCTGACACCCATGTTCAACAAGTTTTGTTAGCACTACAGGTGAAAACTGTAAAATTAATAGAAAGGTTAGGGTTGGAAAGGACCTTAGGATCGTCCAGTTCCAATCCCCCTGCCATGGGCAGGGACACCTCACACTAAACCATGTCACCCAAGGCTCTGTCCAACCTGGCCTTGAACGCCACCAGGGATGGAGCATTCACAACTTCCTTGGGCAACCCATTCGAGTGCCTCACCACTCTTACAGTAAAGAATAATGTTTCCTTATGTCTAATCTAAACTTCCTCTATTTAAGTTTGACCCCATTACCCCTTGCCCTACCACTACAGTCCCTAATGAAGAGTCCATCCCCAGCATCCTTATAGGCCCCTTTCAGATACTGGAAGGCTGCTACGAGGTCTCCAAACAGCCTTCTCCTCTCGAGGCTGAACAGTCCCAACTTTCTCAGCCAATCTTCATATGGGAGGTGCTTCAGTCCCCTGATCATCCTCGTGGCCCTCCTCTGGACTTGTTCCAACAGTTCCATGTCTTTTTATGTTGAGGACACCAGAACTGCACACAGTACTCCAAGTGAGTTCTCACAAGAGCAGAATAAAGGGGCAGGTTCACCTCCTTCGACCTGCTGGTCACACTCCTTTTGCTGCAGCCCTGGCTACGGTTGGCTTTCTGGGCCGTGAGTGCACTCTGAAGCTGGCTCATGTTAAGTTTCTCCTTGATCAACACCCCCAGGTCCTTCTCTGCAGGGCTGCCCTGAATCTCTTCTCCGCCAACCTGTAGCTGTGCCTGGGATTGCCCCAACCCAGGTGTAGGACCTTGCACTTGGCATGGTTAAACTTCATAAGGTTGGCATCAGCCCAGCTCACAAGCATGTCAAGGTCCCTGTGGATGGCATTCCTTCCCTCCAGCGTATCAACCGAACCACACAGCTTGATGCTGAGAGTACACTCAAACCCACTGTCCATGTTGCCAGCAAAGGTATTGAACAATACTGGTCCCAACACCTATCCGTGAATGCTACAGTCCCTGATAAAGAATCCCTCTCCACCATCTTTGTAGGCACCTTTCAGATACTGGTAGGCTGAATGTTTAGCTGTGGTCATTTTTATATGTTCAATGAACACAGCTTTTCATGTAAAATACAAAGCATTCAGTGCTTCTGACTTTTCTCTAATTCTTCTTTTTACTGTTCTGGGTACCAGCATACTAAGTTCACATGGACATTGACATTAAAAATTGCAAAATGATTTATGGTTCATTCTGCTAACACCTACCCCAGTCATTATGAAGATTATCATACAGAAACACTAGGCAAAGTTGTTAGGTATCTTGTTACAGACTTGTGGTTTTAAAATGCTGAGAATGACAACCCTGCCTGATATAAACACTCTTTGAAGCCATAGCTTCTCTAGAACTACTTCCTAAAAGCTAGGCCATTTAGACAATCACTGGCAAAATATGAAATAGCAATCAGGAAAAACATTTCTGAAGGAAGTCATTCCATTGTTTTTACTGTCTAAAGGTGGTTTGATTCCTTAGCATTTGATGTGCTATAATGTGAAATGCACGTTTAGACCATGAGTACAAGGTGCATTGTTTACTATGAAGTGTTATATGTATGTCTGTGACGAACTCTGTTCATCTTACCGCTAATTAAGGTAACCTGAAAACATCTAAGATCTGTCATCCTCATTAGAGTTTAGCATTCAACCTATTAATCATCACAGTGGGGTCAGTGAATAAGTTGGGAGTCTGTGCAGACACTCTTTGCTTTAGAGGCTGCAGCCTCTTGCAGTAATTAGCTGGCATCTGTGTTTCAGTAACAAGGTATTAACTTACCTTTCAGTGCCTGGGAAAAAAACCAACAAAACAACTAAACTAAAAACCTAATAAAAAGCATCCAGTAAGGAGGTAGAAGAATGTTAATTATGTTTATCACTTACTTCATACTTAGAATAAATGGCATTAAATTATAGCAGACCATCTGGCAATCCATATGGTCTCCTGCAGTCCTGGTTAATTCCAGCAAACAGGTCAAGCACAGCATTCACCCTGTTAGGAAAGCACTAGGCAGAGGTGACAAATCTGATAAATCAAATCAATATGAAACTCTTTTCCCTTCTCTGTCTGGCATAATATTCACTTTCATACTGGCATTTATTATTGGTTTTGTTTACTTTTTTTTTTGGTTGGTTGTTTTCTTAAGCTCTCTCTTCCCTCCCCACACCCCCCTCTTATCTCCTGGATGTTTATAAGAGTTTACTAAAAAGCCATCCCAAAAAGCAAGATCCTGTGATCTGATCAAGGTTACAGGTATTGCATGGACTCCACTGTTCATCCCATGCTTGAAAAAAGCATCCTCTGGAGAAGAGCAATAGTTCAGTCTCCATGGCAACTCCTTCTGTCTCTCTTGAGCAGAGAGTGTCGATTGTATTATATTAAGGGTGATGGTTTTGTGATGGACTCCTACACCCGAGGGACTATGAATGAGACCACCAAAATTTTGTTACTGGAGGACAGGCACTGGGATAAAATGGAATTATGTGCATTGTCCTGACAGGACAACCTGTGTTTCTTTATGTTTACAAAATATATTTATAAAGCATGTATGCATGTATATATTCTTATGTACACAAACTATGTATTCACGTACTTATAGAATCATATTTATGCTCTAACACACAAACATTAAGGAACTCAAGGAAAAGATCAAATACGTTTGACCTCAAGTTCTTCGTTCATTCTTCTCTTCTTCAAAACTTCACCTTTTGCTTTGCACAGTGTTAACAGCCAAAGGTGATTAGAGAACTTCTTATCAGAGCTTGATCTGTTTCCAGTAAAAATGTTTTCATTGCTCTCAGTATAGGTTTGATAGGAGCCTTAGTGGCAGCTATGAAAGCCATGTGACAGGTCTGGTGATTTCAGACACAGCTGACCTTGAGTTTTAGATTTCCTTAGGGA